CCTTTGCTCCAAAATAAGTTTTTGGCAAATTTCAGATGATTATACCTATGTGGGCTTGTCTGTGTGTCTTCTATTCTATTGGTCTATGTGTCTGTTTTTATGCCAGTACCAAACTGTATTTTGTTACTATGGTTCTGCAGTATAATTTGAGCTTGGATATTATAAGGGACTCTAACTTTACTCTTTTTGTCCAGTATTTATTTGGCTAGTCTAGGTATTTTGTTCTTCCACAGGAATTTTATAATTTTTTTCCCCTAGATCTAAGAAGAATATAATTGGTATTTTGATAAAGCTTGCATTGAATCTGGTGATCATTCTTGGTAGTATGGCCATTTTTAACAATATTAATTCTGGTGTCTTCTTTTACTTCTTTTTTCAGTGTTCTATACTTTTTCTTATACAGATCTTTTACCTCTTTAGTTTACTTTATTCCTAAATATTTTATTTTTGAAAGGTATTGTGAATGGAATTATCTTGATACCTTTCTCAGAAAATTTATTATTGGTGTATAGAAAATCTCTTAGTTTTTGTATGTTAATTTTTAAAATTTATTTATCAGATCTAGAAGTCTTTTTCTGGAGCTTTAGGGTCTTCTGTGTATAGGATTATGTCATCCACAAACAAGACAATTTGATTTCTTTCTTTCTTACTTGTATCATTTCTATTTCCTTTTCTTCCCGAATTGTTCTGGCTAACATTTAAAGTACTAGATTGAGTAGAAGTGGTGAGAATAGACATCCTTATTTTGTTTCTAATTTTAGAAGAAAAGCTTTTCCCCATTCAGTTTTTCCCTTTTAAATATGATGTTGGCTTCTGGATTTGTCATATATACCCTTTATGAGGTTGAAGCAAGTTGCTTCCTTCTCTCCCTGGTTTCTTTAGGGTTTTTATCAGAGTGTTGAATTTTTTCCAAAGGCTTTTCCTGCATCTATTGAGATGATTATGTAACTTTGGTTCTTTTTATGTGTGTATTATGTTTAGTGACTAGTAGTATATGTTGAATCATCCCCTGCATCCTTGGAATAAATTGAGGCCATTTACATTCAGTGTTATTTTCTTCTGTCATTTTGATTTATTTCCAATGTTTGCTTCAATCCTGATTCTCATTTGCTTATCTACTCGTATAATAATTTTAATCTTTCCTGAGATTAATTCCTTTCCGAGCTCTCTTGGTTGTTTTTATCTTCTTCTGTGAATAGAATTCCTTTAAGCATATTCTGCAATCCTGGATTAGTAGTCATGGATTCCTTTAGTTCATGGAAGATTTTTATTTCTTGTTCAATTCTGAAGGATAGCTTCGCTGTATATAGAAATCTTGGTATTTATTTTATTTCAGGGCTTAAAATACACCATGACAAGCCCTCCTGGAATTTAGGTTTCTGATGAAAAATTTTGTATATTCTAATTGGGTTTTCCTTTAAATATGACCTGGCATTTGTCTCTTGTAAGTTAAAAAATTTTCTTTGTTCTGGATTTTTGGCATTTTAATTATAATGTGTCGTGGAGAGATTCTTCTCTGGTCTTGTCTATTTGGGCTTCTGAATGCCTCCAGCATCTGAATGTCCATTTCATTTCCAAGGTTTGGAAGTTTTTCTGTTATTATGTCATGGAGTAGGTTATCAATAGCATTAGCCAGGGTCTCTGATCCTTCCACAATACCTATGAGCCTTAAATTCCTTAATGTTGTCCCAGAGTTCTGGGATATTCTGATCATAGTTTTCAATATTTCTCTTTAGTGTCGTCTGAATGCTCAGGTCTATCTATCTTGCACTCAAGTTTGAGGTTGTATCTTCTACTTGATCTAATCTGTTGGACAAACCATAAACCAACATATATTTACAATACTTATTCACCGGTTGCCCTTTAACTCTACTAACCCACGAGAGAGTGGGTAAGAAATAACATAAAATAGGCTGAAAAGGTAAGCCTTACTGATGGTATATTAATACTAAATTATATTGGAAGAAGAGGGAAATAAAAAAAAAAAACAAAGGAAGAAAAGGGAGGGAAGGGAGACAGTAGATAAAAGGGGGAAAGAAGAATGAATGAGAAAGGAAGGCATGGAGGTTAAAAAGAAGAGAGGTACAGAGAAAAAAATCCAGTTAATTGAAAATAAAACCATAAAATTATGAAAAAAAAAAACCGAATAGTGAGGGAAGACACAACAGAATAGCGCACAAAATAGCACGTGAGGCAACGATCAAAAAGATTCAGTTTTCCCTTTGCTGAGGTATTTAAAATGGAGACTCTATTTTTTTTTCCCCAGGGCTTTGATTTTAGAGTCCCCCAGCTATGAGGAGGTTTGTGAGATACAATTATAATTTGTGTAATTTTTTTTTCAACTCTGACCCAAACTGGCCAAACGTGTTAGTGGAGTCTGTTTGCTGAGCTGTGCCTCCTCTTGCCTGCCAGCGAGTGTTGGGGAGAGACCCGTGTTTCAGAGAAGTCAGGCTGGGTATCACTGTTTTGATATCTAGACGTGCTCGTGTGGCTCTAGTAGGCCAGCCCTGTCACCTGGGTAGCCTATATTCTGATTTGGACTGCACAATACCCCTTGTTTGGAGAGCCTCCCTCCATGTGCTAGGGAGAGGTATGTGGGAAGTGCCCAGGTCTCACCAGCAGATCCACCAGTGGCTTCCCAGTGTGGGGGACAGGCCTAGGCCCAGGGTGGGATGCGAAGATAGCAGCTTTCTACCCCACTCGGACCTAGCTCACTTAAACCCCTGTTGTCCTGGCTCCTGACCACAGAGTTCATATTGCCAATTTCATAGGAAGGTGCCTTTCACTTTGCTGTGTGGGAGATTAAAAATTAAAAATTAAAAAATTAAAAAATCTCCCACACAGAAAGTTTGAACAATAAGACTTTTTCAGCTGGCACTGATTCCCTATTTTCACTGCATCCGCTGGGAAGTGCCAGGACACACTCCCACACTTCAAAGTATCTGGGCCTGTTTTTCTGCTCTCCTTGTGGTCTCTCTGGACAGCAGAGCCTGCTTTTCTTAAACTCGCTGGGAAACGTTCTTTCAGATGGTTGCTGGGGAGCCTCCCCTCCCACTCTGAGCCATTCACTGCCCACCTGATGCTGCAGCAGTCCATTTCTTTGATTCATTCTCTTCCTATCCTAAAAACCCGGATTTCTGGGTCTCACCTGGCTGCTGGCTCTCTGAGTCACCTTCTGAGGCTTTCCCCCATCAGGCAGCTACATGCCATTATGATTGAATCTTGGGGAGCAGTTACTATAGGGTGGGTTCCTCTAGCCTGTCATTTCCCCGCAACCTAAGAGCAAGTTTAGTTTTGTGAAAAAGTGTCGACGTGTCTTGCAAAGCGGCTGTGCCATTTTTCATTCCCACCAGCCATGAACCAGAGGTCCTGCTGCTCCACATCCTCACCCGAATCGGGTGTCATCATTGATGTGGATTAAGCCATTCTAACAGGTGTGGATCCGACTCTTTTCTGTTCATTCTCTTTTTCTTTTCATTTGGAATAACTTTCAAACCTCAACTCAAAGATTACCTCCTTTGTGAATATTTCCTTGATGCAGCCCCCATTGCACAAGCCCCTACAGGTCTTAAAGTGAAGTGATTTCTTCTTTTCCAGATCCTATTGAAGACCCTCCCATGGTCATTGCAGTTCACAGACCCTAGGCATTAATTTCCACTGCATTGGCACTCCAAAGCCTCTTGACAATTTCTGCACATTCCTGAGGTATTACCTTGTCATGATCCCCTTGCTCTGTATAGGTCCTAGGCTGTGATCTTCCCATGACATCAAACCAGACAAAAGACTTAGCTCGTTCGCTGTTTTTTTGCAGGAAAGTTGACCCATCCCAAGGATTAATGGGGAGGGGAACATATAGCAAAATTCCTGACCTCCTGACTAGATCAATCCTCTCTTTGTTTTTCTCCTTATTACATTTCTAGATTAAAAATATTCTTCCCTACCTCGTACATTGTTTCACATCCTTCTCTTGGGCTTTTGGGGCTGCCAACGTTTTCTTGGCTTTGGGGGCTGCATGTCCTGAAGGGATACACCCTATTGGATGTTGTCCTCTCAGGGAAGATTCGCTGAAAAATATCTATTCACCCAAGAGGGATTCTTCTATGAACTCCTATGAGAATACAATTTACCTCCTTATATTTTGTGTAGCTATTTTCATACTTATTTTTTTTCTGGATAATAAGGACCTCAGGGATAAGCATTCACTCTTCATCTTTTGCCATCATCCCTGCTTTAGAAGGGGCGATTACTATATTTTTATTGTTAATATGTGATATGTTATATATTATATGACTTCATTCTCAAAAAGAAACAACTGAATTTTTTCAAGTAGATGTTCTTGAATTAAAAGCAGCAAAACCACTAGATGTACAAGTAGAAACAGAGACCATGGTTTCTTTGCCCAGTATATAACCTTTATTAAGAAACATCAGAAGACACAGTGCCACAGATATAATTGAAATAGCCAACAGGCAAGATCATTATGATCCAAAAAAACAAGGGAGAGGTCTCATGCTGAACTGTAGAAAGGTTCAGCTGACTTCTTAGAAGCTGGATGTTGGGTGAAGACCTTCCTTTCTCTCTGATGACATCTTAGGAATGTCTCTTGGCTATACTCTGGTGCCTTGGCATTGTAAAATAATTGCAGGCAAACAAGATAAATAGAGATCATAAAGCAAGGTGGGAAAATAAGCATTGTAGACAGTTCTCAAGGAAAAATTCCAGAATATGGTGGTCGTTTTCAGTCTTGCAAGAGGATCAGAAATATCATCGTGCAATTTGATGAACTGAAGATGGGTTCACAGCATTTTTCTGTCCACAGTGAAGATCGATGTATTCATTATAGAATGGAATCAGAATGGTGATTCTCAGACCCTTGATAGCCCACATAAGAGAAAATGAAATAGAGGTCTAAGAACATCTTAGTGGTTCAGAGATGGTCAAGAGGATGAATAGTTCAGAGATGCTGCATCCTGGGCAATCAAAAATCAGCAGGCTGGCTCTTAACAGGTGGGCTCACAGCARGAGGGTGGTGGGCAGCTGTAGCAGCAGCAGGCTGGGCGGCAGCAGGACTGTCCACAGTAGGATGGGCGGCAGCAGGAGGCCTGGGCATGGTGCAGCTGGCAGCAGGTGGGGGGTGTGCAGCTCACCACGCAGCAGGGTGGCAGGAAGGTGCCCTCCACGCGGCAGTCTGGGCGGCACCACCTRRTGCGGTAGCTCATGGCTCCGAAGCCACCCTCCTGGCCAAAGCCGCCTCCGATGCCGCCCCCAATGCCACAGCTGGACTCGAAGCAGCTGGGCTGGCAGCAGCTGGAGCCACAGTTCCCACTGGTGGAGCAGCTGGGGAATCCGCAGAAGCCGGTGGAGCAGCAGGCCATGGTGTCAGGAGTTGGGTTGAGAGCTGGGAGTTGGGTTGAGACCTGGGTTGGTTGGAGGAGTTTCTGAGTTTGAGAGGTGACTGCCACATGGGGCCTTTATATATCTGAACCAGCAGCTGTTTATAAAATTCTTAACATATTTTTCTTGTTTTTTGTTTAAATTTGTTCCTTAGTGGTCCTCTGATTGGCTTGCATTGAAATACTTAGGACATATTATGGGCAGCAGTTTGGAAATTACTCTGTTTTATAAGGTTTTGGGGACTCGTCATATCAGTCTTTTGCTCTTTAGAATATGTTTGTGGTTTCCTGTGTTCAAAGACTCCTCCCACTTTAGACCAGTCAGTCGACACCCTCATTTTGACAGTCGTCATTCCACGTGACTGTCTGTCCAGACTTCTAAAGCTTAGGGTAATTGTCTTATTTTTAAGTATTATTTTTTTTCACTCCAGGATATATAGAATGAATTCTATTGAGTTTAGAACCAGGATATTTGCTGAAATGAAGTAGTACTTTGGTCACGTATAGTTAAAACTTCCACCACAAATACTCCAACATCATATCAAATTACCATTACAGTTCCTTTGATTTCTACTAATTTGAAATGAGTAAATACTATTTGTGTTCCAGGCCAGAAAACTATTTATTTTATTTTACTTTTGTGAACCAAGCAGCTTACTGAAAAGAAGGTATCCAGCTTAGCTTCTGGTAGCATCTTAATAAATGTTTTTTTGAATTTATTATTGATTCAATAAATGTTTATTGAGTGGGTGGAGTAAAAGGCATGATTCATGAATGCCCTGCACAACTCATAAATTATTAAACAGAACTTTCAAGTTGTAACACCTGTGAAGGAGACTTGTTATTTCCTGTGAGAAGAGACCGGGAAATGTTGAATTATTTTTATCTGAATTCAATAGTTGAACTGACATTCAGGGGAAAAAAAATGTCTAGGAGTTATGATCTTTTGAAGAATGTACCATCATCTGCTTTATATTTCCTGCAATGCATCTTCTGTATGATACATCACTGCCATCTATTAAATGATAGAGGTAAGTGCTAGGAGCTTATAAAAATAACTTTGAAAAAATTTTTAATGTTTTTCCTGGATGTGTGTGTTATTGTATTTTTTACTATTACACTCAAAAGCTTAGAGAAGAATTCAAAAATTAAATGGTAAAAGCTATTTCTTTTTGTTCGAAGTTTGTGTTCGCTTCTTAAGAGAACAATATTTGCTTGGGTTACAAATTATGCATCATGACATAGCTGTTTCAGGTTTCTAATGCAGCTGTCTGACATGGTGATGGTAGAACTCACTAGGTATGCTGCTGAGCTACTTGTTCTGTCATTTAGACCACAGATACCTCTTATACGTACAGTAAATGAAGGTGAAAATTGGGAGTTGAAGTTTGGAGACCAATTTGAGAGTCTGAGGAATGAATGAGATAGGCTAAGGCATAGGAATTAAACCTAAATGCTCTTAGAAAATGGATAGTATCTGATAGATATTTTCAGACCTATTTAGTAGGTAATACCATTTCTTTATGTTGGGCATGAATGAAGGAAAACACATGGTTTGTTAAATGGGAGAGATTAGAGAAGGTTAGACATTAGAGAGATTAGATATACAGGTAGGAACTCAAAAGCTTTTATCAACCCGAAAATTTCAGTGGAAAATGGCTCTCTTGGTCTAGACCCAATCTTGGTAGAGTACAGCATGAAAAAAATTTGAATAACTTTGAAGAGTAATGAATGGAAAATTTTAGTAGTAGATGGATTTAAGCATAATTTAACTTGCATTTAATATTTCTAGCTTAGCCTATGTGTTTATCCCCAAGGATTATTATTGAAATGCAAAAGGAGAGTGGTCCCCTTGAATTCCAGTTGTAGGTGAACATGCTTAAAGGTAGAAGAAGGACATAAGTCTGTTTGCTTTGGACATTACAACATTTTATTAGAAGTCACAGTGGAAAGCAGGTCTGAAGATGTGTGGGGATAGAGAAACGGGGAGGAGTGCAGAGATGTCRTTGGATGAGGAGCTTCCCCATCCTGGAGACCTGTTCAAGCCAGGCAGGGTCTCCAGAGCATGATGATCCATATGTGGTTTCCTTAGGGGTCCTGACCAAGAGTTCCATTATTTAGGAGTAGCTGAGCAACATCATGATACTTAGCATCCAACAAATGGTATACTTCTGCAGAGAAGAACATAGTTTTCCCTTGTTTCCCCTTCCATTTTTAAGAAATCAGCAGGTTGGCTCTTAACAGGTGGGCTCACAGCAGTTGGGTGGTGGGCAGCTGTAGCAGCAGCAGGCTGGRCGGCAGCAGGACTGTCCACAGTAGGATGGGCGGCAGCAGGAGGCCTGGGCATGGTGCAGCTGGCAGCAGGTGGGGGGTGTGCAGCTCGCCACGCAGCAGGGTGGCAGGAAAGTGCCCTCCACGCGGCAGTCTGGGCGGCACCACCTGATGCGGTAGCTCATGGCTCCACCCTGGCCACCTCCAATTCCACTCCCAGAGCCATAGCCGGAGCCACAGCAGCTGGTCTGGCAGCAGCTGGGTTGGCAGCGGCTGGTCTGGCAGCAGCTGGGCTGGGAGCAGCTGGTCTGGCAGCAGTTGGGGCGGCAGCAGCTGGCGCCACAGTTCCCACTGGTGGAGCAGCTGGGGAATCCGCAGAAGCTGGTGGAGCAGCAGGCCATGGTGTCAGGAGTCTGTCTGAGAGCTAAACTGCTAAGTGATTTTTCTGAGTTTTGGTTGTACCTACCTTCTAAACCCAGCCTTTTATATAGTCCCCTGAGCTGCATGTTTACCTAACATTTAGCATCTTTCCTTGATGCCAATTGAATTGTCAGTGTTTGATTGGCTCATGCTTGAGTTGTTTAGAAAATTATAAATAGCATTTCAATTGTCCAATTGTCCGCTCTGGGCAATGTTCAATTAAGTCTCATTATGTGTCTTTTTTGCCCTCTGAACTAAGAGAAGGTGCTTCACAGAAGCCAATCCCAGCAGCACCTCTTTCTGTAATTCACATGGCAGACTAAACTTGGGGCACACACTGCCGTGGCTCACTTTGTCATACCTGTCCTTCTATAACCTTTAGACACAGTTTATCTGAACTGAAATTTTCTTCCTAAGTTGACACTCAATCCTGATTATGACTTCATCAACAAATTGTTCAGGTTCGAGAAGACTGATGATATTATTGCCATCAAAACATGAGCAATCTCTTAATTCATCAGCATCCAAACCAAGTTTGCCTTTCTGTGATCAGCTGCAAGTTACAGGGTCCTAGAACTGTATTTTTGTATTCTTGCCTTCAGTCACCAACACGCATATTACCAACTGAAGCCTTTAATGACTTTTACCTGAAAATTGTTTACTGGTTGTTCAATTAAAAATATATGCTACATGCTAATGATAGATACATATTGAAACAAGTCAAACTTTACAGATTAAAGACCAATTAATATTATTTCCCCCACCCCACACAACACCTTTTCCAAAACTAATACATTAAGATAATCAATATTGGCACTTGGTTGTATATTGTTCTTTAACACCTTTACCTCTGCTTCTGCAATACACGTATACATATACACACAAACATCTTCTATTTCAGTGAAGTTTGGGTCTAATACACACTTAAATTAGAAAATTTTAAAAACTATCCATARTGAAAATCTTTTGACCATTTATCTGACAGTTTATTTCTGAGTACTATATTGCACTGGTCCATATGTATGTCTTTATATAGTTCTACAATGTTTTAATCACTGCAGCTTTATAATAAATTTTAAAATCAGGAAGCTTGAGACTAACCTTATTCTTCTTTTTCAAAACTGTTTTTAGTATTTTGGATCCCTCATGATTATATATGAATTTTTGAATGGAGTGTTCTATTTGTGCAAATCACCACTGAGATTTTTTAAAAATATATTTTTTAGTTATACATGGATATAATATCTTTATTTTGTTTATTTATTTTTATGTGGTGCTGAGACTGGAACTCAGTGCCTCACATATTCGAGATCAGTGCTCTGCCACTGAGACACAACTCCAGCCCACCACTGAGATTTTGATAGAGATTTCATTATGTCTGTAGATTTCGTTGATATTTTTATCTTAATAATAAAGGGAAATTGCATGGAAATGAAGGGAGACCCTCATTGCTWTACAAAATTACATATAAGAGGTTGTGAGGGGAATGGGAAAATAAACAARGAGAGAAATGAATTACAGTAGATGGGGTAGAGAGAGAAGATGTGAGGGAAGGGGAGGGGGATAGTAGGGGATAGGAAAGGTAGCAGAATACAACAGTTACTAATAGGGCATTATGTAAAATTGTGGATGTGTAACCGACGAGATTCTGCAATCTGCATTTGGGGTAAAAATTGGGAGTTCATAACCCACTTCAGTCTAATGTATGAAATATGATATGTCAAGAGCTTTGTAATGTTGTGAACAACCAATTTAAAAAAAAACGAAAAAAAACAGAGATAACCATAAAAAAAACCCAATATTGTCTTCCAATCAATGAACACAGGAAATCTTTCATTTGCATCTTTTGAAATTTATTTCAGTTGATATTTTGAAGTTTCTGGTGTACAATTATTTCCCCTGGGTTAATTTATTCCTAAGTGTTTTATTTATTTTTTTTGATGCTATTGTAAATGGAATTGCTTTCTTACTTTCCTTTTCAGATTGTTCATTGCTAATGTATAGAAATTAATGATATTTTGTGTGCTGATTTTGTATTTGTAACTTTGCTACATTCACTTATTGGTTGTAGTGTGCGTGTATAAAATCTTTAGGGGTTTCTACATCAAGGATTATATTGTCTCTGAACAGAGACAATTTGCTTTTTCCTTTTTAATTGCTTTGGCTGGAACACCCTGGACTCTGATAAATCAAATGGATGAAAGTTGGCATTCTTATCTTGTTCCTAATCTTAGGGGAAAGAAGGATTTTAGTCTTTCATTATTGAGTATAAGGGAAGTATATTATTTTCATATGTGGCACTTATTACATTGAGTAGTTTGCTTCCATTCTTAGTTTATTGATTRTTTTTTAAATTATGAAAGGGTTTTGAATTTTTTCAAATGCTTCCTTTGGATCAGTTGAGATGATTGTGTATTCTCTCTTCAATTCTGTTAAAGCAGTGTGTTACATTGATTGATTTGTGTATGTTGAACCATTTTTGCATTCTAGGATAAAGTCCTATTTGGTAGTGATTTTTCAATCCTTCTAATGTGCCATTGAACATTGTTTGTTACTACTAAGTTAATGCTTTTTCTATGATTATTCATAAGGGATATTTTTTCCTTAGAGTGTACTTACTTGACTTTGGTATAGTAAGGCTGATTTAACAGAATGACTTTGGAAGTGTTCTCTCCTCTTCAATTTTTTGGAGGATTTTGAGGATTGGTGTTAATTTTTCTTTGGTAGAATTCAACAGATCTGGTTCTTGGATTTTCTTTCTTGGGAAGTTTTGATTACTGATTCAATCTCCTTGTTAGTTATATGTCTGTCCAGATTTTCTCCTTTTTTCACGGTAGGTTGTGTTTTTCTAAGAATTCATATATAGATTTGTGGACCTATGGATAAGATTTATCTATGTTATTCAAATTCTTAATATATCCTATGTTTGTAACTCATTTTAATAGCTATACAATTTTCCAGAGGCTGATCATACCAGAATTTATTGAATCATTCCCCAACCAATAAGACATCAATCATTTTTAGTTGGTGAGTTTGAATTTTAAAATAATAATAGAATTTGAAGCTGAAAGAGACATTAAATGGGCCAAGCTTTAGGTGATTAGGGGACTGAGATCTTCACTGAGAAATCATTTAATTAAACCAAGTGAACTTTGCAAACTGGTTCTACAACTATGTGACTGTRTGAGCCCAGAAAAGTCACTTAATCTCTCTGAACAATGATTTACTCATCTATAAAATGAGATGATCTCTAAGACGCCTTCCAGGGCTAAAAATGTGTAATTGTTCTACTAAGTCATCCATTCCTTAAGGGCATGATCCCTAAGGCCATGTCAGATTCACCTTGGTTGTCTACATGGTGCCTCTATACTACCTTGCTTGTAGATGTTCAATATTGCTTGTGGAATGCAGACTGAAGGAATGATTAGCAGTTCATGGTCATAATGAAAAGCTGAAAAAAGTTGGCTATGATCTACATACTGTGGGGTCGGGCTCCAAATTCCTCAATAGGACACCCATAGCACAAGAGTTAATAA